CAAAAGTCAACAGAGTTGCTGATCCGCAAGCTGCCCTTCCAACGTCTCGTCCGTGAAATCGCTCAGGACTTCAAGACCGAYCTTCGTTTCCAGAGTTCAGCTGTGATGGCACTTCAGGAGGCTAGCGAGGCTTACTTGGTTGGCCTGTTTGAAGACACCAACTTGTGCGCCATTCACGCCAAGCGAGTCACCATCATGCCCAAGGACATCCAGCTTGCCCGCCGAATCCGTGGCGAGAGAGCTTAGACTAGTTCTCAATCCAAACAAAACAACGGCTCTTTTAGGAGCCACCACATGCTTGAAAGGCAATGACGCATTAGCTTGAATGAATTAATGCAATAACACTCTACAGAATATATCCAACGATAGAAGGCTAAACATATATATTTCCTGACTCATTTTGAATAATAACTATATACATAGGCGGTATTTTTACGAATGCATTGAGATAACGACACAACAGCACGTTTTACATGTTTCTGACTGCACTAGGAGAGACCGCATGAGTAACTCAAACCGCAAGGGATGCGTTTAACAAAATTTGCATTTTGGCGCGAACGACCCAATTCATAAGGCCAAAAATCACACGTCTCTCAATATAATGACAGTATAGAAATCACCTTCCTGCACACCGTCTAGCCCCTAGGTTTTCGCTTGACTTATAAGAATAAAGACATGTCATTGTCGTAAGCTTTAGGCTCTGTGCGACTGCATACCACATCTGTACACCACACTTTTGCCATACACGGCGTCATACTGGCTTATAATGCTTCCTTAAGCATTTTAACACTTGTTTTAGCAAATATTCTAGTCTCTTTCTTGATTCAAGATAAGATTTTTTATAAAATGTATCGATTGTGAACCGATGTTCAACCAGCAAGTCGATTCGTTGCCAGAGGCTGCCAAAGTAAGACCTGTGTTTGTTGTTTGGACAAAAATGAAAATATTACCGAGAGAAAACATTTTGGATTCATTCTTTTATTCTTCCATGTTAGAAAGGTTAATAAAGAAGCACAATTATTGGTATTTCTGGACTTTACTATCGTATTTAAGTAGAAATCGATGGAATTATAATACCAGGATCGTGAAGTTCGACTCATAACTGACTGTGAAATCTTCTCTAACTTGGTGCAGAAATTGAGTTTCTCTATGAAAATAGCATCAACTCATCTTTGTGTCATATAGTCTCTTTTRGAATTAATTKATCAGAAAATCAGTCAATATTAAATTCAAGATATTAGTTCAAAGTCAGCTAACAAGCACACTGGTTGGCCGCCATTGCGAACGAGCTTATATCGCTGTTTCCGTGGAGGTTCGCAAGAGAGTATAAATAACATGACGGCGTTACAGCCCRCCATTCAYTGATTCACTTTGATCGGAAACGTGGAAAATTTCTAKAGTAAATTTCAAAATGTCTGACTCCGCTTCTTCACCAAAGAAGGCCAAGAAGCCACAGAAACCRGCTTTACACCCTCCATACAAAGAGATGATCAAGGCTGCTCTGACATCTCTGAAAGATCGTACGGGATCATCTCGCCAAGCCATCGAGAAGTACATCAGAGCAAACTACCCGGTTAACGACAATTGTGCCTCTCAACTCAGGTTATCTCTCAAGCGATTGTCGGATAAAGGAACAATTGTTCACTCGAAAGGAAAAGGAGCCTCTGGCTCGTTCAAGTTGAACAAGGCCGCAGTCGCCGAAAAGAAACCCAAGAAAAAGACTGTSAAGAAACCCGCGGCCAAGAAAGCTGCCAAGAAAGAAAAACCCAAGTCACCAAAGAAACCAGCTTCAAAGAAGACAAGCAAATCACCCAAGAAATCAGCCAAGTCTCCTGCTAAGAAATCAAAGAAATCAGCAGATAAACCAAAGAAAGTGACCAAAAAACCTGCTGCCAAAGCCAAGCCGGCAAAGAAGACTCCAGCCAARAAACCTGCTGCAAAGAAGGCAGGCAAGAAACCAGCCAAGAAGACAGCCAAGAAGTAAAGTGTTGGATGCTCAAAATTCAAAACAAAACGGCTCTCTTAGGAGCCACCCACATGGTGGAAAGTCAATGACATAAAATAATGCTATTTAACACACAATCCTATATACAAAATGAATTTAGGCAAGTTATTTGAATTTTATTGTATATTTATTTTGATATGAATGTTTTCCATGTACCGTACAGTATTTACTCTTTCACTTATTTATTTATTTACTAGCTTTTGCCTTAAAAAATGATACAAACATTATAAAAAAAACAATTCTCAAAAATATATCAATGATATGTTTAACGAAGTCAGTTTTATTCACATATTTTAAGCTTCAACACATAAATACCTTGAGATAACATTCAAGGAAAAGAGAAAACTGCTAAGAAATGAGCTGCATKTATATCTGCWTCCCYATTGAGAACTTYTTTTGGATATTCWCATATCTAGCTTGACCCCTCTTCCTTGGAATTCAGTGACTTTTTGATCATCGTTATCATACTTGTATAATCCAGAGATTTACAAARCCTCTTGAAAATTTTAGATATGCCCTCAACATGGGGAATACAGATAACAAATGTGGTAGTCCACTACTTAAGTTCTAATGATAGTAAAACATTTCTAATGAAAATAAATAATTAATCTAACAAACAATAAGAACTACATAGAACTGACAGTACAGGATGAAAGATGCATACATTTTATGCAGGAACAACAATAATCAGAATTAGTTGCTATGTGTAAGACAAATGGAGAGAATTGTATTGAATCTATATAACAACAGATTAACAATACAAGACTTTTAAGAACAACACAATACCCTATAATACTATGCATATATTTGCTAGAGTATTTAACAATTACAGTAATTCTAAGACTCTTCTTGATAAAAATATTATTTTTACTTTATACTAGGATATTTTCTAGGGTTTCATTTCCATTTTCAAATAATAAAAATACATTTATTATGATCACTTTAGTCATAACAAATGGCTTGTACATTGTGGTCAAGAGACTGAACATCTCTTCATCAAATTTATTCAAATAAAAATGAACTCATATCTATTCCAGAAATAATTTCTTTCATCTTGATATAAAATATACAGATAGCATTTCAAATTGTTGTTTCATTGTTCTTACCTACAAATTCTATAGTCATCTTTGTTATTTTGTAGTTGAAAAAAAAAAATGGCTTAGACCTTAGATTACGTGCTACTTACTAAGAGGTCCTGATAATAGATATTTTTTTAGAAATAATTTGTATCCTATTTGTGAATCTTGTCTAGCATGCACTAATGATAAATAATAAAAATACATTTATTATGATCACTTTAGTCATAACATCAAATTTATTCAAATAAAAATGAACTCATATCTATTCCAGAAATAATTTCTTTCATCTTGATATAAAATATACAGATAGAATTTCAAAATTGTCATTGTTTTTACTTGAAAATTATACAGTCTAATTGTTATTTTGTAGTTGAAAAATGGCTTAGACCTTAGATTACGTGCTACTTACTAAGAGGACCTGATAATAGATAATTTTTTAGAAATAATTTGTATCCTATTGTGAATGTCTAGCATACACTATTTATATTCAGTTGTAGCAACAATGAAAATTAAAGTCATCTRTAAGTGGCAATTGATGTTTCTCAAAATTCCAGTGTGAGCCGGCTTAGCCTAGTAKCTAYGTRTAAATCTATTGTCSTATTCCTAAWGTTTTCTGTCYTAGGAACAAAGCTATTCCTGCYTGTACTGGAATTTCAAGACGGTCAATATGGTTGTTGACAACTAGATAAATTTGAATGTAAGAGTGATGCTGATAAATAAATTATGCTCTAGTAATGCTATTTCCATGAATCCTTCAGGTTTGATACTCTAAAATTGTATGATTTCTGTTATAAAACTGTAGCAAGCCATCTTCCAAACATTAAACCCARCAACTGCCATAGAAAATGCCCCAAAAAAGCACCCACAAGACTTCCAACTAATGGCAAYGGCACATGGTAATACCCCAAGAGAGCACCCATGATATACCCCACAAATCCACAAACAACGGGCGTGACCCTTTTTGCTTTAAACCTTTCGGCATCTTGTGGAGTCACATGGCCTTTGTCCTTTGCTCTGTCAGCTTTGATCACAAGGAAGGCAACAGAGATAGAATCTTGAATTACCCCAAAAACTAATCCAAAAACATGACTTAGAAGTAAAATTGTAGTCTGTGCCACAAATCCAGTACTAGYTCCGATGATAATCACAGACCCCCAGAAAATACCATGCAAGATTATAAAAATAAGCCTAACAATTGACCACAAAAAGTCATAGACTTGATAACTAATCCTATTCCCAGTTTTACACTCTGTACAAAAGTGTTCACAATTGCTCAATATTGCGTTATAGTTTTTCTCCCCAATCCTTTTCCTTGCTTTTTTGACAACTTTATAGTCTGAGTAAACTATGTTTCCATCTGGTGTGTCTTTATCTGGGTATTCAATCCTGTAGACAACCATACCGGGTTCTAGGACGAATTTATCACGAATTACTCGAGCTTTTGAAGAGAGATCACCAGCGCTGACAGCACATTTTCCCGTCTGGTTGTCCCCTGTTTTGTGAATTCGCAAGACATATTTTGAACGAACTTTTTCGACTATGAAATGATGCCAGTATCCCAATGGACTTTCTTCCATAACATGGTCTCCTTTCCTTAGTTGATCTATTGATGTGATTCTTGTTCGAGGAGATACTTTACCAAATTTCTCTTCCACGATGTTAGGGATATTTTTGTACATTTTACTAGTTCAGCGTTGATACTTTCATTTGAATTCTAAACTATTATATGGATTCTCTTGGTAAACAGCCGGTTGCTTGACCACTTATGACGCATTTGTGACCTTGCCACKCAAAATAATGATAACTATGACTTTGTGACGTTTATATTTCCACGCAAACTTTGCCTAGGATATCCAAAGTCCATACCGGAAGTAAACATACCAATGGTATCCGCCAATGAAATTTCATAATGAATCAACACAAAGTAAAAATACAACAAGGTCTCTTATTGGCCAATCGATAATATCCGGAAGTAAATTGCGTAAAATTCGTCTTCTTTGGCGCTCAAAATATGGAACCCTTGAAGCTCCTTTCCGAGAGCTGTAACGACCWAAAWATAGCGTTACTATTGCTTAATTGCCCATCTCAAGTTTTAGAGAAGAAACTTAGTGTTTTGTGGCCAAAAGCTGTGATAAAAGTCGCGACGGATGGCGCTGCAAACCAGCTCAAATATATCAACGAAAAAGGCAGCAATTTTATTCCAGACGTGATCAGYGGTGATTTCGATTCAGCCAAAAGTACTGTACTCGAGCAWTTCAAAGGACTAGGTACAGAAATTCTGCACACTCCAGAYCAAGACGCTACCGATTTTACAAAGGCTTTGCAGTACATAATTGCAAAGCCAAATATAGCATATGACRTCATTGTTGTACTTGGAGGGATGTGGGAATCACGCGTGGACCACGTGTTTGGAAATTTCTACACTTTGTACTTGGCAATGGAGATGACTGACAAGAAGGTCTTTCTCTTTCTTGATGACTCAGTCAATGTATTATTGAAACCAGGTATATGCACAAGAGGGCAACACACTTAATCCATAAAGCTAATTAGTACTATTTGTTTCATAGATTGAGTTGGKCCACTATATTTTACAACTATTATGCGAAAGTTGCAACTCTTTTGTCACCCTCCTTTTTTTATGAAAGGAAAAGTGGATGGGAAGAAAAAATTTAAAAATGCCTAAAGTAAAAGCATCCATACATGAATAAAAGAATTAAGCTGAGAAAATGAGATGTTTTGGCATAACTTTGTGCACTTAAAAATACTTAAATCTATACATACTGTACATATTTGCATTGATCCAAACATTTTCACATCCTTCCCACCTGTGGTCTTGTATTCATTCACTGATGTGTTCTTCATTGCAGAGACTTCAGTTATACTAGGTTTCCATGCTGTTATACTAGAATAGTAATAGAAAAAACAGAATGAATTTTGAAACTGAATTAAGTAATAAAAATAATGATGTTATTTTCAAATACTTCAAGCTAGAGTGCTCGCACTAAATGCGTGAAATATAAATACTACAAAATATGTGATAAATTATACAAATTCCTTTGTTTCCTATTGTATAATCAACACTATTTAGTAGTAATTAGTACTATTTGTTTCATGCTTTAAGTGCAAGCACTCTACATTGCCACAAAAACCATTTGCATGTAATTATTATTATTTGATATTTTTATATTAATTAATATACATTAATCTATAGGAAAACATACYATTCATGTTGACACTGGACTAGAAGGGGATTGGTGTGGTATCATCCCTCTTGGGCAGCCTTGTAGGACGATTRCCACAACAGGWCTCAAGTGGAACCTAAATCAAGACTCATTGGATTTTAATCGTGGAATTATCAGCACATCAAATACATGGGATGGTAGTRARGTTGTCACTATTGAAGTCAGTGACACTGTTTTGTGGACAATGGGTATTAAGAGCAACATATAATGTTTGTCATTAGCAATCCCTGTTATTTTTTTCATTCTCTAAATTATTAGAAGTATTTATTTTAGAGYAGACTTGTGTTCAACCTGTAGCAATAAATATAATTATTAGTGGAAGGCAAACTTTTAAAGAGAAARAAGAATTAGCCCGAATTGTCTTGTTTTGAAAGTGAAATAGGTCAATTTAAATACATTATGTTGTAGCTAGACAAAGTACCCAGAATAATAACATTGTTCTGGGTTTGGTGTTATGGAGAGTGAATAAAATTTTCCACTCTAAAAATGTGTAAGGATTTATCAACTGGATAATATAAAAATAATATAATCAAAATAAAATTGTTTATTGGTTCAATTTCTTTTTCTAACATATTTACAAACATTGCTTGTTATTTTCTACAAGCAACACAAAGCCAGAGCATGAGAATGTTGACTTTGTTCCTTCAGTATTTGACAGCATTCGCTCGCACAATGATTCCTCTCTTCTACATAACCAAGTTCKTCATATATTCTTGCCTACAAAATAATTTATATTTTAAACCAACAAAATGACTATGACTATGAATGTGATATAAAGTCAGTACAGCCCTGGTCTTTTTATTATATTGTTCTTATATCAGATGCACTTAAAGGACATGACCACCTGCCATCCCTTAAATCTGTTGTTCATGTTTAAAAATATAAATGCATTGTAATATATTAATTAAAACTTAATCTTTATCCTCCTTGCTTTTTGCTTTTTGCTTTTCTGGAGATATTATAAGATTCAATTTTATAACTGACATATTGCAAAAGAGGTATACTTCAAGTCACCCAAATTTCTATGTGAAAAAAACTCAAACATGACCACATTGAATGCCACTTATTTACCATGACCCTTCAGTTAAAGACCTAAAAAAATATAATGGATGATTACCTTATGATATAAGACATCCCGAACTTTGTGYAAAGCTTCTAATTTTTTGAAGCTCCCAAGTATAGCATCTAGTGTTGGCAAGGCAGACAAAAGAGCTAAAAMATAAATGTTTTTTGCTTAGAAGTATTGCTGATATAATCCATTACAGCACCAAAATGATGACTAGAAATGACACTACAAAATACATTTATTTTAAAATGGATTATTTCATTTGATAATGAGAAGATACCTTGTTTTCTTTTAGTATTTGAGTTAGAAGAAAGAGCTGTGGCAAGTTGACATTTTACAAGCAGAAACTGAGCACATGATTGAATATATAGAGAACCTAAAATATTCCAAACATATTTATTATCTTTTTTGTACTCAATATAACAATATTTTAGCAAAACAGATGGACCTACCATGGGCCAATAGATGAACCATACTAGTTTTGACGAGTACAAGAGCCTTGGCAGGTAAGCCAAGAAGAAGCTAACATTAAATTATACAATCATTAATTTTAGACAAACATTTTTTTTTTTTGTAGCTGTATGCATGCATTTCAGAAAGTTTGTCTGAAAGATTTTCTGTTGAGAGGAAGTCTAAGATCCAGTTCACACTGCAATATAAGCACATAAGCTAAATAATACTAATATGCCCATTGGATAGAGAGGGAAAAAAAGGAAGGTGATTTTCTTTCTTTATTCTTTAGTGTCATTCTACAGCTTATGCCAGTTGTTATGCTAATGTCAATGCACACATTCCTTTGTTCCCATCTTCTGTCTCTGCTTATGTCATAGCTAAATTCATTTGGCAAACATTAATTTTCACAATTAATACCTGTAAGTGTCCAATGCAAATTGATGCCAGGGCAGCAGTGTGGTCCAGGTAGTGTGAGCAGGCCAGAGTAAGGCAGTCCAGTAAATGTGGCATAGCAGCCAGGGGATTCCCTGACACTGTATATAACTTACATAGTGCTAGCAATACACTATAACAAAAAGTTACTATTAAAAAATATTAGGTTATTAAATAGAAAAATGGGGATTCCCTTACTCATTATATGACTTGAGGATAAAAGGCAGGATGAAATGTAACATGACAAAAATAATGGGGATTCCCTGACAATGTATGACTTATTATAAGAAAAAGTTTATACAAGTCATTTATATTCCTGGGAATATAAATGTATAAAAAGGGGATTCCCTGGAGAAAACATAAGATCTTACTTAGTATGAAGTTCTGCCAATGACTTTGTTCTATTCTTAGAGGAAGCAGTTTTCTGTCTAAAATAGCAACAAATGATTTTGTTTAGAAAAGATGACTATGAATTACATCTAAAATTGATCTTAGAAAATGATCTTATAATCATTTTTTTTTTTTTGATGAACTTGAATGTTGAGAAATTAAGTATAAAGCTGTGTGGATGGACTATTCCATAAAGTAAAAGGAATTATTGACAGAATGAATGACAGAAAACAAATGAATAAACAAATAAACTTTAGTAAAATAAATACTGACAATAAAATAATAACTAATTAATAATAATCAAATAGTAATGTCCTACTTGCAATCTTGCARCAGCTTCTGTAATACAGTGTTAGCCTCTGCTGTATTCCCTTCATATATCATATTCAATGCAGACCTGAAAAGGGRACAGTGTAAATTATTCAACATAATAGGAAGTGATGGTAGGATTGATTGATATACCTGTAAGCAGACTCTGATTCATCCAATGGAATTATTTTGTTTGCAGCCTTTTGTGCGCCCAACACATCTGCTTTGAATAGAGCTCTGTCATGTTCAATYAGTGCCTCTGTAAGCATCCATTTCTATAGAACATAATACAGTATTGCATAATAAAATTAAATGAGACACAACTTGATCCAGATCCTGAACATATAATAGAATGGAAGAAATTGTTATTCTCATATTTCTAATTTTGCAATTCTTAA